TTAAATGCACATTGTGTCACAGTTAAAAAAGACGGCAGATACTGCAAGAATAACAAACCATTTGCAAATTTTGCTCAGCGCAGAGAGAAGAGCAAAGAGTAGAATCAACAATACAGAAAGCCGGATGAAACACGGTTAGAGATCGTTAAACCGTTAAGTGTTTAAACATACACGACAGTTACTGCTCAGTTAAACCCTTATGAGGGTTACTAAGCTGGATAACACGGTAATAAGTGAAACTCGTATGAACAATGAGGCAAAAGGTTCCAATAGTAAGCAAGCTGAACAAACCAGCGAAACCAGCTGGCTTGCTAAACTGTATCGGGCAATGCATTCATAAGCATAGTAGTAGACACCTACTTTATAAGAGGCATTGTACTATGAGTATACTATGACTGCAACCTTTACCCCTAAACCTAGTAAAATCTCTATATGTGGGAACCTTTGCCCACTTTGGGATGATAATACCACCTCTTGAGAAATATGGATGGTGTAATTTATTATTCTTATACTGGTATTGGTAGTGATATGGTTTGTGAGATGTAGGGGGAGTGTAGGAATAGTCCTGTTATATGGACGAAAAAATTGGTTATTCCTAAACTTGTATTGGTCATGTGGTGATATAGTTTGAGATGTTGTTGGGAGTATAAGAATAATCTTGCAATGGGGTGACTGGTGGTATCACTACCCAAAATGGGCAGGGGTTCTGCTAACGGAGTTTAGTGCAAACCTTGGCGATTTGAGTGGCAACATGAGGGATTTGGAGGCTGCTGGCCTACAGCAAACCAGGCGGGGTATCATGTCCTCGCTATGCCAGCTCCAGGGCCAAGGGCTGCATGGGCTTACCGGAATTAAGTTGCTGCCATCAGGACGAAGCAGACAGGGTGGTGGGGTTTGGAAACCCTGTCCGTCGTTGCAGCAAAATAACAGTGACCGACGATATCTGCACTAAGTAGCAGCAGCGATAGTCGTATTCTACGCAATGCCATTGGTGGCAATCGTAGGCATAGTATTCGTAACGCTGGCCAAGCAGTTGCCGGTGCCTCCCCCTTTGCGTTTCTCTAATTATGCTTGTGTCGTCGGGTGCCAGGCTGTCCAGTATTTTCCAAGACAGGTAACCAGGCTTGGAAATTTTGGTGGTCAGGCTATTCCGCCAAAGGCCCGCATGGGCACTTGTGAGAGTTGAGTTCAATCCCTTCAGTTTAATGGAAAAGCCTAAAACACCAAGTGGCTTGGTCATGCCCAGGTGGGCCAGGCGACCCTGATGCCTGAAAGAGAGCAGAAGGAAAATGGAGGGGAAGCAGGGTATGCATGGAGCTTTCAGTGCAATTCAGGAATTGGGGCTGTTGGGTTTTATGGGTGACATGTTGTTTCTTGGGGAGTCCTTGGTGTAGAGTTCATGGATTCGCGTGCTGCTTTCTGTATGATGCAACATACGTCATTGCCCAGTCGAAGCTGCTATTCCTGATAACATCCTGCACATATTCCGGCATTTTTATCGGCAAGCAGTGAATAGCAGTGACTTGTTCACTCCACTCGCGACAGGTTTGCCGTTCGTAAAGAGCTAAAGCATCCGTCCGGGTTTGGAGTACCGTAGGCCCTGGACCAAGGTGACCCAGCGTAGCTGTGGGTATCTAGTATGCAGGTCATATTGTGAAACGGAAGTAAGTCTTAATGCTTGTACCTGTTACCGTTTTGAACTTAGGAACACAGCTAGCTACTGCAGAGCTTCGGGACTTAAGAATGCATACGACCGCACAGCACAGCTGCTGAATAACCCTGTCCTTTCCGCAGCTACTGAGCGCCAAGTAGCGTTTCACGGAAGGCACTGGAAACCTCTCGAAGAGAGGCAGTCGGTGCTTCCGGCTTCTAGACACTGCGTTGCCATCCTGGGTGCTAGATTAAACAGCCTTTCGTGCCAAGCAGGACTGTGAATGATGATGTGCCCCCGTGTATATATATATATATCTATATACACACACACATATATATATATATAACTGCATATATATATATATAAAAGTATATGTATGTATAAGCTACTACTTCATCAAGGCTTCAGTGCTCTGGTTGGGAAGTCGAGCAACGAGCACCGAATTCAGCATTCAGGCTTTCAGCCCCAAGATCCCCAAGCCCGAAGCCCAATCCAAATCCGAGCTGTTCTTTCCACGCAGCTGGCAACCTGCGCCTGCACGGTGTGGGCTAGATCCCAGAGACTGGGGCCGACCCACCCTCGGCACATGCCGAGACTACCCCACGCCTGAGGAGGTCACATGGGTAATGCCCGGAGCTTGGTTAGATGTCGGGTGGGTAGTGCGAGAGTGTAAACCCTATAAAGGCGCGAAGCCCGAAACCCTCATGCCTTCTACAGTTCTACAGTCCCAACGCTGAAAAGCTCCAGTGATTGCTGATTCAAGCTTTATCTCCAACAAAGTCGCTCTCAAATGTTCTGCAGGCCAAATTCAAAAGTATACTTAGTCTCACTATCCCTGCAGTTGAAGGGCGGAGGGCATGAAAGGCATCTTCAATTGTTGAGAAATCTGCTGCTGTGGCTGCGACAACATCGACCATAATGGCACAGCAGCGCAGACACCACAACGATAAGAGTCAGTACCAGCTATTGATTCGTTACTGGAATCTCCAATTCTGTGCTGAGAACTGCGTGGATTCGTTTTTCGCCGTCGTGGCGGCCTCCCGAGGCGGCAAATGGTCCCCTCGCTGTCGCTTCCGACTACTGGTCCTGCCGCTGCACGCAGACACTGGGCGGCAGGATGCTGACGCCATATGATGTATACATACGGAATTTAGGAATTTAGACCAAGAGTTCTGCTGTGGTAGAATTTTTGGAGAGTGTGTGCTAAGCTGCGGTTTTAGAGCATACATTGAAGTGCATGAACTAAGTATACACTCTGGCGTGAATACAGAGAGACTGGCGGAGACTTCTCCAGCCGTTTCCCAAGGCCCAAACAACCCCAAACTTCACGGTGCCAAAAGGGTTCAACAAAATCAGGGGCTCCTTCTTGGCATCTTTGCAGTAATTATCCTCCATTGAGGGTCGATTTTGGGGCCCAGTTCAGTATTGCGGCTCTTGGGTTCCTCACTTGCTTGAGCGCTCACGGCCGTGGCGGGTGCAACTCCAAACTCATCTCCATACTCGAACGAGCCCTCAACCCTATATGGTTGGCACGTTCCTAGCATCGTGGTTAAAGTTGTTGGGGTCATGCAAATGCCCGCAGTAACATAGTACGTGTCCTGAGCGAGAACTGACTGGTTCTATGGTTTAGATTGGTTTCGGTGCTATCTGTGCGGTCTTGGGCTTCTTTAGCGTGGCGGAATTGTGTGGAGCCTTGCCTGCCTTTTGCGAGAGTGAGAGTCGAAAGGCATGAAATCCAAAACCCGGAACCTTTTCAGAGCGCTGTTCTAAAGTTGCCTGCTGTCCTCTCTACAGCTTACAGTTCACCGCCTCGCTATGAGGATCCATACCTGTGTGCAGGGATGGTGGTTGGACTCGGCTTGGGCCAACAACCACCGGAAGCCTTGATGATCCTGCTGTCAACTTCGTTGGCTCAAGAGAGCTCCACAAAGCAGAGTGCAACCCCTTGCTTGCCACGGACCTTTGGTGCATCACCACTCCACACTGCAAAACTTTGAAAACACCCTTAAATCCCTAAAACCCTGCAGCATTAACTTCAAAAACCTCAAAGGAGCATGAAGCCCTAACAAAAGCCAACGAAAGCAGCACCGAAAGCCCTGACCTCGAAGCCCGAGGAAGAAAGATCCACAGTCGAACTCGCAGTCGGGAATCACAGGCAAGCAGCTTAGAAGTTTTAGGGTTTATGGGGGTTTAGGGGTTTTTAAGGGGTTTGGGGCTCATGGGTGTTGCTTGTAGGGTTTTGGGGTTGTTTCTCAAGTTTCTCGTTACATATTATAGCTAAGAATTGGATTTTAAGGCTTAAGGCTTAAGTAAGGGCCGTGGGGTCTGGGTTGGGGCAAGGTTTAGTATCGAGGTTCGGGCTGCTCGGGCTTCTGGAAACAAGTGGCCCATCCATTACGGTCTACTTGTCATAAAGCTCTCGGCAGACGGTTTCAGTCTTGGTTTTGTAGTGTATATATATATATATAGTCTAAGACATACGGTTCCGGGACCTATTTAGTCGCAATGCAACTACACATGCTTAAGAGCATGAAGAAGCTTGCACGAACAACAAACAAACCGGTTGACGAGTCGTCGTCGTCAATGCAGTAGTAGCTGCTAACAGTAGTAGCGGCAGCAGTGGCAGTGGTAGCATAGCCGCAGTAACCCGGTATAGCTGTGTGGCAGCGACTCGAGTGGTATTGCTGGGAAACACGTGTAATTCTGAAGATGTCAGACGGGATCCTTCTTTAACCATCTTCAGCCCTGAATCAGGTGAGGCGGACGCTGCCGACCTGGATCTTGAAGATCATGCTGCTCGGCGAACCCTGAGCCCTAAGCCGCTACAGGTTGAAGTTTTGAGCCGAGGGCCTGCCTTCCTTAAAGTCGGGAGATGGTCCGCGCCCACGAAAGACAAATACGTGCAGCAACCGGATCGCCCTACAGCCCCTCCCCCACATCAGCAGCCTGCTAGCGATTTCAGCTCAGACGGCGAAAGGACCACCATATACCTGCGAGAATTCGTTCTTCTAAGGGCTGTATCGGTGCATTGGTGTCTTTCTACTGCTCTGGTGGAGCGGACACTGTATTGCGATCCCGAATTTTCTGAAGCTTCCTTCTGTTTCGCAGTTTCAGCTGCAATAGGTTGAGTGCCTGCAAGTCCCGGGCATAGTCGTTCGAAGCACTCCTCGAGACCTTCTCATTCAAGTGACAGAGGGTGGATATCTTGCCTGTTATCTGCGGAACACATAACTCGGAACTTTTTGGTTTTCATTTTTACATTCTGTTGGTCTTCATTGTTATATTCAGGACCGCAACAGTTCTTGCCTTATCCCGGCTAGGCTTTGCGCCCCGGGTTTGTAGCCAGGACAAGATCGCGATTGCAGACCCAAGCCGCTTTGCAAAGTATTCGGCAGTGGAAAACGTCGATGAGCCGAGCCCTCGCCTCCACGCGAACACCCTGAAGGCACCACTGGGTGGGGTTTGCTCAGCAGCGACCAATTACAGATCCTCCTCCTCGTCCACTGCTCTAGTCTCACTCTCACACTCTTATGACTCCTACCCCTCCTCCTACTACTACTACTACTACGACGACGACTTCTGCTCCTTTACTGCTTCCTTTGCTACAACTTGCTACAACTGAGACTGCTACTCCTCCTCCGGACCTCCGACGTTCGCCATGTGTACGAGAGATGGGATGTCGACAGGGCCTCCCAGCTTCACAGTGGCCGGACGGTTGCCGTTGCCATACACATATGAACAGATTCTGAACGGCATTGCGTTTGAAGAGCTGATGCTGCCAGGCTGTTTACGTCACGAAGGAGCCCGTCCTGCCCGACGACAAGGACATCGGGTAGGGAGGTATTGTAGTTTAAATGGTTAGAGTTCTGGGTCTTCAAGCCCTACCAGTTAAACGAAACCGATAATCGGAGGTCCCAGAGGGCGCTTTCGAAGTTTACAGCTTTGAGGTTGTCGAGATGTCAAGCCAGAGATCACCAACGATTGAAGTTTCTGGCTAGCCCTGGTTAGATTGGTACTAGTGTTTTCTATATTTTCTCTTTGGAACCCTGATACTGGAGAAATATTGGAATATGTGTGTATATATACAATGAAAGACATACAAACATGAGTTTTAAAACGCAAGCTGCCAGCTGCTAGCCAGCCAGCGTGCCTGCATGCGTGCGTGCATGCCGACGCACATGTGTGTGAGACTCCTTTTCGAAGGAGCGGTTTCCGGAGAGGCCACCGGACACCACGCCAAGTGCAAGAACGATGCTTCGCCATCCGGTTCTGGGATGTTTGGGGGGTTCAGTTTTGAGGCCCGGCGGGCTTACACCAGAAACTAAACCCCAAGCCTAAACCTGAATTCGATTAACTGGCTTAGGGTTTCGGGATTTCGGTGTTGTTTTTGGTTTCGATGTGGGTTTGGCTTTTGAGTTTGTTCCAAGCGAAGGAGCCTGAATAGCACTATGCCAAGGGGGCCACTTCGGCCCCTGCGGCTACGCAGACAAGGTAGGGTTCTGGGTTTACAGGTCCCCGGCGGCGTCGTATGATTCTAGCTATGGTAAGCACATCAACAGCAAGCACGGAATAGGATCAAGGGTCCTTGCTTTTACTTCAAAGAGGTGACACCTTATTTGGGCTTCCTGGGTTACAAAGAACTGGCGGTTGAGGATCCTTACATGGGCTCCTGTTGCAACCAATGAGCATGTGGCCTGGGGTGAGTGTTTCCAAGCGTAACGATGCGTAGGGACTCCACCATGAGGTAGTTTTGGGCGCCTTAATACTAAACCCAAGACCTGAGGAAGCATTCAAGCTGGGCGCGAAGCACGATGCGCTACTCCGTGGGCTCCGAGTTTACTGCCTCGCCCCTCGGTTTAGCATTGAGGGTGCGCTAGATACATCGCTAAATCCTCAGTGAATGGTTGCTTATTGGGCGGCATTAGCTCGAGAATGTACGCAATAGACCACCTTGGTGTGCAGTACCGGGTTCCTGCTTCCTACTCACAGCCGATGCCCTCGTGCAGGAACCCTGATCGAAGGATCCATCGAACAACGAAGTTTTGAACAGGAAAGACGTAGCTAATCGCCCAAACCCTCAAACCCAAAAGCCCTAACTCCTCGAAGCCAACCTAAATCCAAGACCCTAGAACCTCAGACCCGAATGCTCTAAAGCCCGACACCCCCCAAAAGTATAAACTGACAGCTGTTCCGCAAACTCCCAAATCTCCTATGAGGTCCCTAAACCCTAAGTCCCTAAACCCTAAACCCTAAAAGTCCCTAAACCCTAAACTTGAGGTCCTTATCGGGTGGCACCTTGGGCTCTGAGAAACACCTGAACTCCGCGATGGCTTCGCCTCGAAGCTTTTCTTGAATTGGGTTTCGGTTTAGAGTTTCGAATCTAGGGTTCAGGGTTTAGAGGCTCGAATTTTGAGTTCTGGGGTTTAGTTTTGAATTTAGGGTCTAGGTTTTAGGGCTTAGGGGTATTGATAAGGGAGGGGTGTAGTAGGACCGTAGGCCCCCGCTTATTGACCACCTTGTCTTTCAGCTAGCTGTTCTGAGCCATGTCGAGGGACCGGGGTTTATGAATCAGATCTACCCTAGGAATTTGCATAGGTTCTACGGTTTGGAGTGTAGGGCCCTCAGTCGAGAGGTTGTCTTGCTTAACATAGAAACGGCTTAGGCTCTCGTGCTGCGTCGTGTGCAAGGCACAGCATTGAGATTCACGTTGGTTTGCTTTTGGGTTCCCTATTTGGTGCAATGGCATGTCCTACAGGTGTTTCTGGTAGCTTTTCTTGAACAAAGAGCTTTGTGGAGCCTTAGAGCAACAGCCTTAACGTTAAACCCCATAGCCCGAAACACTATACCCTACTTGTATTGGAGCCCCTAAACCAGAAGTCCAGCTCCTTTTCCCTGCTGAAATTTGCCTAGCAGCCCGGGGCTGAGATGGCCCGGATGGGGCGCAGGATTCTGAGTGATACATAGGGGGTTTAGGGCTTTTGGGCGGCTAGAGATCTCCGTGGGTATTTTCCACATGGGAGGTGCCAGTCAGTCCCACATGGAAAGAGACAAGGAGTCCAGCCCTGGATCACCTGCTCGCGAAATGTTGCCTAAAATTTACAACAGCTACAAACCCTTGAGTTTTCTGATGGGAAGTCTGCTGCAGGCCCGGAGGTTCAAGAAGCTGAGGTTCGAGAACATCTTTGGTTAAAAATCAGAAGGGGGCCCGTCCGAGTCCCTTAATCAGGGGCCCCTACCAGACTTTAAGGAATACTCGTGAAGGGATTTTGGGAGTCGTTGGGATTTAGGTGCAGTAGGGTCTTGCAGTTGTTGCCGACTGTCGGTGGACTGGAGGTTTAAGGAGCTCAGCCCGACAACAAGAACCTACGACCCTCGCCCGAATCCTGCGGCTCGTCAGGTCATGCTCAACCAGCCGTCGACCTAGCCGTGTGTTCCACAGATACAGATGTTGGCAACAGCCGTGGCCATGCGAAGAGGAGGCCGCACAAGGCGCGCACGGGACGCCCCAAATCTGAATCCGATCGCGCAGACACATTCCTCCGAAGCCAAGGCGAAATGCCCTGAACTACTCACCGATTGTGCGCGAAAAGACCCGACATGCCTTCTTCAGCACATGCCTGAGAGTAACTCCCCAAACCTACACAAGCATCGGATGAGCAGGGCTGAAGTGCTTGGAGCTATAAAGCACGCAGCTTCGTTACCAGGTGTAAGGGCTTCGCAGCTTCGGAACCATGCATTGTTGCTGCATGTCATGTCTGCCACTGAGCTTACTAGGGGTATAGTTGTTATGTGTAATTTCTGTTGAATACTACCAGGAGTACCTTCACGAGTTTCTGATACACAGAAAGCTTCTAGTACTTCCATGACTACTGTCTCTATTCATGTTGTTCTTCTCGCTTTTCCTGATTTGTCGCTTTTTGCACTCATCTTCGTCCTTGGCACAAGGCCCTTTCGCAGCACGGCCGCCACACGGAGTCACACGATGGGACCGAAGTCAGCCCCTGCAGCCGCCATCACGACGGAGCCGAGTCCAGTCCATACGTCTATCATCGCAAGGCCGGAGCCTAGTTTCTAGGGGAGCCGAGGTGAACGTACATTTTCCCTGAGCTCTCTGGCTTAACCATAGGATCCCTATCTTGATTCCCGATCTAGAGCAACCCAAATGTTTTCTCGCGCAGTCTGACAAGTAAGACTCAGATGCATAAATTTAGTCATGTAGCCCTGGCAGGGAGGAGTTGCAAAGGAATTTGAGTCTTGTGGATGAGCTTAGATTGGATTAGATTTGATGCCTAAACTAGCTGGTTGAAACATCGCGTAGGTTTTCTTCATGCATGATGTACAGTAACCTTGCAGGATTACCAGCAGCATTTGGCATGGCATACATCCCGGTTTCCTGAATGAGTTTCTCCTGATCGTCCAACATAGAACAACATTCGACGTGAAGCACTCAGGGTATGTATTCGGAGGAAGAGCTAGTGATGTTTTAAATCATTTTTGGAAACAGGCAAGGTTGAAAACACGATTCTCGTCGAGCCCGCTTGGCATTCCGCGCCCAGGTACTTGTTCATCACCGCGGTGGGACTAGGAATGCTATGAAGGGTGGGCAGTAGAAAGCACTGAACGCGAGAGTGTTCCAGGTAGCCTCGCTTTGCCACTTCTCGCCAGGCATCTCGCCACCTGCATCAGTTTGTGCGGCTGACGGATACTATGGGTATAGTACCTTCTGCAGCCCTGGGCATCGTTATCAACAACCACGGCAGCTTGGGCGTGACAATCAAGAGATTTGGAGTTCTGGGGCCTCGGTATTCCATGTGTTCCAAGTAGAAGACCGAAGAGTGTTCAGCCTTTTTTTGTCGCAGTTCCGACTGCGGCCTTTCTTTGATGTCTCCAGCTCCGGGACACTCTCCGAACCCGCCGCCGCTGAGCCATCAACGCCACTACTCCGCTTGGCCTGATCATTATGAGCGACCCTGTTGAGTCCTACATAGAAATACCCGAAATTCCTATACCGGTTCTCTGATGCCCCTCCATGCTCAGTGTGCAAGTCGAAAGCCCCAAACCCCAAGGTCGTGCCCGAAATCCTCGCCAGGCTTGTTCACAGTTGTGAGTGCTGAAACCTCAAGATCTCAGAGCCTCCCTGAACCTCTCTGTAAGCTCTATTGTAAGCACTATGCGCACCCCAAGACCGACAACTGTCTCTGCTTTCGCAGGACGATAGGGAGGCGTATCAGGTGTCATTCTTTGGGGACTGCTCGTGTTCAGCTTACGGTTATCTTAGGGAGTATGCTTTCATCCAGCTTGCCCGTGGAAGCCGAAGCGTTCCCTAAAAAGGCCAAGAAACTCATGATGGCGCAAACAAGGGGCGGGGCCCCAAGGCCTAGTTTCAGCAACACTTCATCCAAAAGTAGCACAGTCCAGGCAATGTCTCGGACTTCTACAAGTCGCTCGGATGCTGATGCTTTTCAGTAGGTAGATAGTTCAGACTGTCAGAACTACTCGTGATGACGGGTGAGGGAGGGCATGGCTCGCTATGGCTGCTACTCGAGTTGTGATCAGGGTGCCACACTACTATCGTATGATGGTTGCATATTCTATGGTTGCACCAGAATTTGAAAGATTGTTAGCTTCAAAGACTAGACTAAAGAGATCGAACGGCCCAGGTTGGATGCGAAACCTTTGGGCGAAGGGAGCTTTGGAGCCGTCTTCTATGCGACGCTTCGGGTGACGAAGGCCATGCCTCAGAGGGTGATAGTATCCTTCCAGGGCGCTGAGGGCTTTGGGGTAATTGGGGTTCATTGCAGGGCGTTCTATGGGGTGCTTCGGCTGTTTGTGTCATTCAAGTGTTGCTTTTTGTCGGATTTTCAGGTTCATCATTGCCACACCTGCTGTGCTTGTGTCCAGCAGTGAAACAGGGCAGTCCAAGGGCTGGAGATGACATGAGGTCTTCTGACGCCGGTTCAGAGGAAGGGTCCCTTTGGCAAAGACGGGGTCTACATATTATGTTGGACATCTAACACCAGCGTTCGGGGGTGATGTTTTTTTGTAGTATGGGGAGACTTTCCGCTTTCAAGGAGCTCTAGGGTTGTAGGGGTAATCTGGAAGGTGCGGGTTTTTTTTTGGCCACGAGTAAGGCCCAAATCCCTGAGCCGAATCAACCCTTCAAGAAACGCAGTGAACCATATCGAGCCCTTATGGACTAATTGAAAAGCTCTGTAGAGTCCAAAGCAGCACCTGACAAGATTCAAGACGAAGATCGTCACAGACCTGTTCAGAAGAGAACATATGCGCACCTAATACTCGGGCTTGTCAAGCAAATCCTGCAAAGCAGATTTGGGGACTGCGTTTATATGGGTCTCGTTTTGCCCAGGGAAGATTCAGGTGAAGGGGGGTAAGGGTGCTTGATATGTCCCTACCGAGAGTTCCCACTGTCACTAGGTCAAGTAAGAATGAAGTGCCCATGTCAAGCTTGAGATATAAGGTGCTTCGCACTCATGCCCACAACGAGAAAGCCATGCTTGCTGCTGCATGTTTCTTACGTCGACTGCTGTTCTTCAGAGGAATGTTCCTGCCCCTGCTTCTTTTACAGGCGTTTTTTTATCCAAACCCGAAACTATTAATTACAACCTTCTCATTTTTCCAGCTTGCATTTTGCGCTGGACGGGTTTGGAATTCGACAGACCTTGGGTTCGCAGCAGACCATTGATCATGCCGTGTGCGATTGGAGACATATGTCCCTGACCCTTCGACGTGGAGCCCTAGTAACCTGAAAGCCAGCTGACAAGACTGTGAGAATCTAGGTTAGGGCCCAGTCAGTGTTACATACAGGATAACTCTGTTCGCGTGGAATGTTTCAGGAACTCTGAAGTTGTGAAGACCATGTGGGACTGAGGCATCCAGAGCCATCAAGAAGATTCCGAAGGACTTGCGACATTTGCAACAGCACCGTGCAAGCAGCTCGTGTTGATACCCTGAAGCCCCAAAGCCCTTTTCCTAACAAAAACCGCCACTACCTTCGCCAAGATCAGGTAACCAAGACCTTATGCGACAAATCTCGTTCTTACCGGACACTGCTTGTAGAGTTGACTGTGGAAAACGCAGTTGTTCTCGCCAGGACTGGCTGGTTTCTCCAAGAAGTTTGTGTATGAGCAGAGGGTATTGAACTTTCATTATACCGGTTCAACTATTGAAGACGATGAAGCTATACACGAAGCAGCTCACAAACGAGATTTCCGATGCTCATTTTTCGCTCCGCAGCTGCGCCAACGCCTTGCGCTCCACCGACTGACTGGGCCAGTGCAGGGTAGCCCTAAGAGAAAAGCCTTTGCAACCCCCCCCCCCCCCTATCACAGATTCAGCCTAAACATGAAAACCCGATTCATTGAAACCCTGAGCCCTAAAGGACCCCTAGAGTCTGGGCCTGGAGGCTCCAAAAAATAATCCTTGAGGCGAAGCGGCAGACGACCCACTTCAACGTTCGGAGAGTCCTGGGTTCTTGTCAAGGAACCTAAGGGTATCCATACGCAACCTGAGCGCTTAAAGAGGGCATACGAACATAAGCGTATGACAAGGAGTCGCGAACCGAGGTTCCCGCATGATTGTATCTGCAGGGGAGATTCAAAACAACAGCTTGCCGGACGGTGCCGGCACAAATGCAGCATGCCGGACCTGTATACAGAAAGCATCACTTTGGAGGCCCCGTTTCGTGGTATTTTTGCTTCATATGGGAAAATGAGTAACAAAAATTACCAAACGGCTTTTATGCCGACACACACACACACGCACACTCTTACTCTAACTATGCATGTAGCCTTTGCAGCTGCACAGCGAAAAGCTCTTCAGTCGAACCTCTCAAGCTTTGAAAATCGATGAACCACGTTTACCTTAATTAAAGAACTCCCTTCCTGTTGCGTCTGGAGCTCTCTCGCTCTCCAGGAGAAAATGCGGGAAAAGCTGGTCACGTTGAAAACGGAGGCACGGAGTTTGAATCTATGACTCTAGGACAGGCAGCTTTTTTCTGTCGAGCAGAGAGCCCAAATGATTTAAGTTCTTTTGTCACATTCCCACAGCAAGGCTTAGGCTTATTGGGTGCCCTGGGAACAGGTCCAGCTGCTGAAGCTCGTGGACCATCCGCACATTGCCCCTCGAACCTTCGAAGCTGATGTGACAATGTTGGCCCTGTTTGAGTTCCCTCTTCCAACCAACAAGCCTGAGCGCCCAGGTGATGCTGCATGAAATTTTTGAAGACAACGATGACGTCCATCTCGTCATGTCACTGTGCCGGGGGGGCCATTTGCAGGCCTCCACCTGTGCTCATCACAGAAACCCTTCATTCTTGTCAGTCTTCCTATGCTGTTTGCTGCTGCTACCACCGCCGCCGCCGCCACCACCACCACCAGCACCACCACCACGACGACTACTACAAGTATCCGGTTCACTACCACTTTTAAGACTGCTTGCAATTTTGTCTATTGCTGCTCCCCCGAGCCACTTTGCTACTACGCCAACAGCGACAAGCGACTACCAGCTGCTCCTTTAACCGTATAACAATCATCGTCACCACAATAGAAGTAAGCGTGACACTAGTGGTGAGAGAAATAGCGAAGGTAATTACTGATTGCAACTGTTATTGCGGCTGCTGCTCTTGTTAATGCACTTTTTCCACTATTGGTCGGAGCAGCAGTTAAGCCTCCTGACTGTTGGTTTCCTTAGTACCTCACGGGTTGTGGCTTCGGGACCACATGCATCTCGTGTCCTCTGGAAACATGCACCGATCTCATGGTGTCTTGGAAAAGCTTGTTGCCAGCATGACGGGCTTAGGGCACCGAGATTGCAAGAATATGAGGTCCTTGTGGGCAAGTGGCCCCATGGCCCTCGCCGAAGCTGCCTTCAGAGTTTCGGGTGGCATGCTGTGCTTCCGGGCTGGCTAAAACTTGAAGACGCCATCGTCTGTTGAAACAACTGAGGTTGCATTCTCTAGTGCTGGATGTGTTTCGTTGGTGGACCTTGCATTGATCCCGAAACCTGCCCCATACATTCCCGACAAGCACCAGCAGTTTAAGAACAGGCCCCAACTCGGCACAAAACCAGAATCCATGTAATTTGCCTAAAACTCATACCCTAAACCGTTTTAGCAATCTACAGTGTTCACGTCTTAGAGGAAGTCAATCTGAGACCCCTGTGAAGCCGTAGCAAAAGCGCAAGATGACCCGGTGCAGGCTTACGTGATGCGCTACGGCCGGCTGAAGGAGAAGAGTCTGAGTAAAGTAGCTGTAGGGCTTCGGAGGTATAGCATAGAAGCCCTAAGGTTGGAGCATGGGCCAGGGAATATCAGTGCTTCATTTCTACTTTGCATGATGTGACTTTCTGGCTTCTTCGTTTGTTCCCAGACTTGAAGGCATCTTCGGTGTTGTCACTTTAGAGGATTTCGCCACAGAACTTCAGTAACGGCAAGCTCCAAATTCTCCTTCTGCTCTTTGTGAGCTTGCAGGAAAAGCAAGCCAGGAGCCTTCAATTTCCTGAACCTGAATCCTAAGCCATCCTTATCCTGAGCCCGGAGCCTAAACTGGAAAGCCTGCACAGTCCCACACCCCAATCTTAACCCTAAGGTTGAAACCTAAACCCAAAGCCCCAAGAATCCATAGAGCGCATTCCTTAGCCCGAAAGCCCAACCAAAAACCAGAAGGGGTGCCTTGTCCCCTTGTTCCGAAGAAGAGGCGGGAGGATTCAAGTGTAGAGACGACGACGACTAGAGCTTTGCGTAGTTTTAGGGTTTGGAATCTGCTTCAGACAGTTGCAGCATTGCCGGATTTGCACTTACAACCGGGAGCAGGATCTGCTTGGTCTCATCGCCGCGGAAGACTTGTGGTTTGTTAATGAACTTACTGAGTAGTTCGTCGTTGACTTGTTGGCTAGGAGCTTGCCGTCTTACCTCTGCCCTGAATGATCGAATCATACAGAAGCCATTAGGAAACCATCATGATGGCAACGATGTTGTGATAGCGGCGATAGCGAAACTGTTGCACAGCTAGCAGTTAAGCAGAACACAAGCAAGCAGCAACAACAGCAACAGCAGCACCAGCACCAACACCAACAACACCAACAACACCAACAACACCAACAACACCAACAACACCAACATCAACACCAGCAGCAGCAGCAGCAACAGCAACAGCAACAGCAACAGCGGCAGCAACAACAGCAACAACGGCAACAGCGCAGTATGAAGAACAGCAACAGTGAATACCTACAGCAGAGGCAGTACCACCGCGAGCACTATGATTACAAACAACTCATGTTTCCCATTTGCGACTCAAAGCAAAAGTCCGGAGGCCGAGGCAAAGATCCAAAATTGCCTTCAAGTCCCTGTGTGATCATGTGAGAGTCTACACCACCAGCGTTTTTGAACACAGGGCTCTAGCTCCAAACAGCTGCTGTGCAGGAGCAGCCGGCTGTCGCTGCCATGAGGCAACTTTTCCGTGCAGCACCACGGCTTCAATGAATCATCGTTCACTTAGTGATGCCAGTCATGCTTTAGAGTTCAGGCTTTACAGTTAATTAGGTCTTCTCGGCATTACCCGATAGATGTGGCCTGGCGTGTCTCAAGCAGAAACCCTACAGAGGGTACTACGGGGTAGTAGTTAGCCCTACCCTAGCACCCGTTAAAACTAAGTCTGGGCCTGATGCAAAAAAACGGTTTCGAGTCATCATTGCAAATGACGTGACATACCTACCGTAAGCCTTATAAACCTCAACCCTGAACCGTGAACCTGAGAAGCCCGCAGCCCGGAAACCGAAGCCGGCCCCTAAACCCAGAGCTGCAAGGTATCCTATCTGCACCGGCGTTTCATCTGCCACAGGGCCTTTTCCTCAGACTGCGTGTGTTCGGGGCTTGGGGCTCTAGGCTGGCATAGGGGCTCTAGGAGGATTCCATGACGGGTCTTGCAGTGTTCTGTTGTGAGGCTTTGGACTTGGGGTTTCCGGGCCAGCGGTGAGGGATCCATCACCGGCTTGTCATTGTTGCACACGGGGACAGTAGCATGAGTGTGCTTGCTGAGGCAGCGATGGCTGTGTAGTAAATGGGGCGTTTACAAGAGCTAAAGCATCCAGATCCTGTTTCAGCCCAGTTCACGGCTTTCTCGAGATCTCGCGGGACCTTCCTGACTCAAGAGCCAAATCTCATGAATCCCTTCAAAAGTTGAATCCTGAAGCTTACAGGCGAAGGACACCCTAAAAAGCCGTATGCAGCATGGTTCCCAGGACCTGAAAAGCGAGAATCTCATGCTCCTGCATGATGAGCCGTTTACAGGCACCGCGCCAGGGGTTAGGGGTTCTGGGATTCTAGGGTTTGGGGCTTCAGATTTGAGGGGTTGGAGGTGGTTGGAGTATAAGGTGGATGGAGGTCTTCAGCATCCGTACAAAGCTCAAATAAACTGAAAGCCCGAAATCACAGGTCCTGTGCCTACAAGCGCAAGCCCAAAAATTGGCTGCGCACCCACACGCAGACTAATCTAACACGTAAGCCGTAGGGGATGATCCGAGAAACCTTCCAACACACAGAAAACATTCGCATGGCCCCTCCATGAGGATGACAGGCACAAATCGAGAAGGTGTACCAGGTGAGAGTCGGAAAGCCGCTCAGGCAGCAGCAGAAACACGCTGAAAGTGACGGACTTCGGGCTGGCCACACTCTTTCAGCCGGGCGTTCCACTGACCTCCACAGCGGGCACACCCAGCCATATGGCCCCAGAGGCGGGTGGTGAATGGACCTGAGGGATCAGGGACTTAAGACTTAAGAGCTTCGTTTGGAATGCCTGGGACAGAGAGAGAGAAAGAGAGAGAGAGATGACGTTAGCCCTGCCGAAAGATGACGTAGTGGAGTTTGAGGTTTCTGGCTCGAGGTCCAAAGCTGAAGTTGAAGCAGGCTTTCCTTTGCTTTGGATTTTGGGGTTTTCAATATGATGAAGAGGAGCTCAGTTGTGGGCGCTGCCTGCAGTGTGTAGTGGTTTCGGAGCAGCACAGCGAGGAGGATCCTGACACAAGCTCTGGTGGAATTGCGAAGAGAGCCGCTAGAGCTTTTGCTCGAGGACCTGTTCGTCTCGTCTCTGTGAAGCTCAAATTGAATGCCTTCTTGTTGTGGAAATCCCAAGATGGCAGGTCTACGCCAAGAAGTATAACCTGGCCTGTGCCACCTGGCCGCAGACACTATACCCAAGGCCCCAACCCTAAACCCTGTGTGTGAGTCGAAACCCTGAACCAGTGAAAAGCTTACACTCCATGTTCATGGTGAGGGTCATCCCGGCAGCCGTTGTTTCCCGTGAAAAGCTTTAGTACGTGTCAGGGGTAGCAGTTGAGGGAAGCGTGGGGGGCTCGCAGATTGCACGGCCCACTAGCTGAAGCCCAATATCCCGCAATTATATAAGGAATATACCTTAAAATATAGTAGGCTCCCCAATATGATTTCGGTTGTTTCTTTGCTGTCCGAGAGCTCGTGTTTGGTCTTTAGCTTAGCGCTACCGACTGGCTCTGGCCCAGATCCTCTGGTGCTGTGTGTGATGTCTAGGGTTGTAAATGCTCCACAGGCCTCGGAACACGAAACCTGCACCGAAACCATCCCAAACGACAAGTCCTAAACCACTGTCAAATCCCAGGCCTCTGTAGCCCGTAAACCTTGGAAGTGCTCTCGAACCGTATTTAAACCGAGACTCCGCCAGCAAAAGGACGTGACAATGTCAGAAGACATCTTGCGAGAAGAGACGAAAACAGCGGGCCTCAGTTCGTAACGTAATACCCTAAAACCCAAACCATAAGCCCCAAGCCCCAACTTCAAATATGCACACCAACAGCTCCTGAAGGCGAGAGCAGCACTCCAGACATTTCCAGGGTCTGAATATTGGAATTTTGGTAGCGAAACGGTTGAAATGTAGTCATAAGAGATTTAGAACTCAGCAAGTTATAATATAATCCCCACATAGTAGGGTGTTTTCCTGCGGTTTGTCCGGATTTCCGTCCATACAAACGTGTTTAACTTCTTGGGCCGTCCTCGGATTCGTCCGAGTATGAGCTTCAATCTTAACGCGGGTTCGGAAAATGCTTTGAGAGAGGCCAGAACCCCTAAACGAAGCCAAAAGCCTTGATCCAACAGAATGCACCGTGTGTAGCACCTGAATCCCAAGCAGGAAAAGCAACAAAGTCACAGACTCCGTACTTAGGATCTGGGGGGGCCTAAACCCGGAAACCCTAAACAGGATTTGTGGACGTAATTAGAGTGAGTTGAGTTTTGCTTTGGGCGGTGAATAGGCCTCCCTCGCCAAAGTCCTGTCGACGCACTTGGAACTTCGCCTGGCTTGTCCTAGTTGTGAGTGCTGAAACAGGATTTGTGGAGCTGTGGGGTCATTCTTTTCTTCGTCGTCTCACGGCTGATGCCCTTCGACGCGAACGAGAAAGGCGCCCTGCGGGTGACAGTGCAGCCGGTGGTTTGTTGGGGGGTTTCGGAGGTTGAGAAGTTCAGGATTTAGTGGTTTCGGGTGTAGGCTTCGATTCAAGGTCTGTTCTGTTTTTCTGTATTTACTATGTTGGCACAGATGTAGATATGCATTAATATACATATACACGAGTAATATACATGTATGTATGTATGTAGGTAGGTAGGTAGGTAGGTACGTACGTACGTACATACGTACGTATTCATGTATGTATGTTTGTATGCTTGTTTTGTTTGTTCGTATGGTATGGTATGGTATGGTATGGTATGGTATGGTATGGTATGGTATGGTATGGTATGGTATGGTATGTATGTGTGTATGTGTGTATTTGTGTATGTGTCCATGTGTGTATGTGTGTATGTGATGTGTATGTGTGTTTATGTATGTACACATGTTCCTATTTATCGATGTGCTGATTTGTGTGTGGATAGAACCCAAGTGCAAGAACTCCCCCGCCGCAACGCACCTCCAACTCTAAGTTCAAGAAACCCCACTTGAGAACATAATCTCAGACCCTGCAGGGCTATGGATCCTAGCCTGGCTTGTTCGAGTTGTGAGAGCGTAAACCCTGCACTTCAGAGAGCCCAGCACTCCTGCTTTTGGAATACTCCTTACCTCAATATGAGAAGCTCTATGTATTTTGAAGGAAGATTCCTAACAGGGAAATGGGCTCATGCACCTCGGCGAGGCTCCAAGCGGTTCAAGTTTAACTTGAACGTCCATCCATGGGACCTCATTCATCAGGACCGCCTGATTCAGATGTTTCGGGTTCGGTTTCTGGTGCCAAACTGTAAACCCTGCAAGCCCATTTGGCCCCTTCGAGCCTGGGCCGTAAGCCTCAACTTTTTGTATGAGTTCACAAGAGTAAAGTTGGGCCAGGTTACCAGCGTATTTGTGACTGGAGGGTGGACTTAGCAAATCCAGAGCCCGAAGACTGAGAAACACGATCGGAGCCGGCAAATCAAAGCCAGAGCCCTAAAACTCAAAGTCCGCAAACCCACAACCTTAAAGCCTGACATCGGGCCTTTGTGGTTTCTGACGAGGTGTAGTTTTCCGGTTCAGGGTCTGCGAACCCTTTGAGGACTGCATCAACTTGGTGACAGTTCTCCTGGACAAATCTGTTCATAAGCGGGCTACTGCTGCAGCCGCGCTGCAGCACCCATGGATCGTGAACAACACTCCAAGGCCATGGAAGGGTGTGCTAACCTTGCTTCGGTTTGCTTCGGGGATAGTTCGAAGAAGTCCAGGCATGAATGGATGACTGCCGACAGCCCCGCAAGTCCTCCTAAACCTCCCCCCCAATTCAAACGTAGCTTCACCTGAAACCCCACAACCAGGGTGGAGGATGTGGTCATCCAGCCCAACGTTCTCGCGCGGCTAAAGCGCTATCGCAAGCACAACCGTTTCAAACGAGCTTGTCGGAAGCCCAGTTTCAGGAAAGGGCCGGAGTTGGAATAAGGCATCAACGACAGGAGTTCGAGCCATCGTGATAAAAATAAAAGCTAGCATACATGCATACATACATACATACACACACAGACACACACACACAGATATATATATATATACACATACATATATAAAAAATAATTGACGTACATATAATATAGATACATGCATACATACATAATTACATAAGTACATGCATGCATGCATGCATGCATGCATGCATGCATGCATGCATGCATACGTGCATACATGCATGCATGCATACGTACATACATACACGCGACAGACACAAGCACACATGCATACGCATGTCTAAGCAGTTAAGTATACTTACTCGGAAGGGTCGGTTCGGCCTTTCACCGCTTCCTGTAGAGCGAGTGCTAAAAATAGAATGTATACATATGTACACGTGTTTATATACACACTTTAATAGCAAACATGTATTAGGTGCTGAAATTGGGTGAGGAGAGATATGTACCTACTTGTTGACTGCATTGCAGTGTGTGTTTTTCTTGCGGGGAAGTTTCGGTTTCGGGAAAGTCCAGGATTCTTACGATGATGCATGCGCCTGAAGTGCGACAGTTTGTTAAGAAATGCATAAGACGAGGGAGCATCATTGCAGCCTCATCGTTGCATGCAGTGCTACGCAATACAAGACAAAATTCACGTGCATGAATGCGCGGGAATCTGCATGAGCACCCCAACGCTGTATTACGTTAGTTTCGTTTCAACAGCGGTCGTAGATCTCGCAGCAGCAGCAGCAGCAGCGGGAATCTGCATGAGCACCCCAACGCTGTATTACGTTAGTTTCGTTTCAACAGCGGTCGTAGATCTCGCAGCAGCAGCAGCAGCAGCAGCGGCGCCAGCAGCAGCAGTAGCAGTAGTAGCAATAGCAGCAGTACTGGCAATAGTGCCAATAATACCAGAGCAGTAGTACCGGTACTGCATCAGTGGTGGCCGTGGAGGTAGCAGTAGCAGTCGCGGCGGCAGTAGCAGTAGCAGTCGTAGTCGCAGTAGCAGCAGCAGTAGTTGTAATTAGTAGCAGTAGCAATAGCTTCAGCAGTAGCAGCAGCAGCCGCAGCAGCAGCAGCAACACTAGAACAGGAGCGGCAGGAGTAGTAGTAGCAGCAGCAGTAGTAGTAGCAGAAGCAGCAGGAGCAGCAGGAGTAGGAGTAGTAGTACCAGTAGCAGTAGCAGCAGCAGTAGTACTAGTCGTCGTCGTCGCAGTAGCTGTAGCAGTAGCACTGGCACTAGCACTAGTAGTAGCACTAGCAGTAGCACTAGCAGTGGCAGTAGCAGTGGCAGTAGTTGCAGCAGCAGTAGTAGTAGTAGT